GGCGTCTCCCACTAGCAACTTTCCCTCGAGGGCGGCTAGCATCTTTTTCTAACCACCGATATGGAGATTGACCAATTAGCAGCAACGCCAATTTCCCTTACTTTCTGAACGAAGGCTTTTCTCGACGAATCCAATGATCTCGTGTCCTTAGACACACCCCATTATAGTTTTCCTCTGTGGCATCATCGGGACGGGAAAGGCATTCTCTCTCGCGATCTCATCGACGAAAAGAGTAACCCCTTACGACCAGTGAATATTACGCGTCCGACCTAGATTCTGTGAGCACGTTCATCTATCATCCCGTCGACCGCGGATTCGTTATTGAACCTAGGATCATTGTCATTAGTTTCTCGAGTATCTAACTACCACGGTTACTTGTCCGGTTCTATGATAATCGTTTCACGCCTCTAATCCTAATTTTAATGTAACCCCGACATATATATAATTTAAAAAAGAATAAATTTATTTCACTTAGAAAGATGGCAATTTAGATTCATTGTTGATTCTAACTTCTAGTTGCTGCAGAGTAGTAAAGTAGCAGTATAATAATTGTGAATATCGATCGATGTCTGTTTTAGACGCGGTACAACAAGAAGAAACGAGGTCCGTATAAGGAAGCGATACGACAGGCACAGAATGAAGCCCGAAGTCAAATCACGCCTAACTCGACGAGTAGCGTTTTAAACGTGTGTAGCTCACCGCGTGAGGTCAACGTTCTCTCCTAAGGGAAGGTGCACGGCGCTCGACACCATTCCTTTAACTGCCGGGTATTCGTCGTCGGAGATTGATTCTAACGGCGGATCGAAATCGTCATGTAATATATAAAGCAAATTTTTGTACATAATTGACTTTAGCATTAATGGAATAGCTCTTGATCGATGTTTTAATTCAGTTGAGTCGCGCTTGCTGTCGTCGTCCATGTTAAATATGGTCAAACTAACGGCGACACCAACGCTGAATGAAGTTTACTGCCACCACTGGCTGTTTTTTTTTATCCTCAGCTTTTTTCGAGCGAACATTTAGCGTGTAAAAAGTATTTAGGTAGGATATAATCTCTAGAGATGACACGTCAGCTCTCGAGGAATAATTTCGTACTACACTAAAGAAATATGTCTATGACTTCTCTTTGATAGTTAGACACAGACAACATACATATACGTTAAAATCACACGGGTGTCGTCACTGTACATTAAACATCTCATTGATTACTAAATCATTATTTAGCGATGATCGTTTACTTGAATTCTTTATATATATGCATATACATACATATATATACATACATATATATACACATACGCGTATATATCTGTATTAATAATTTTATTGTGATCATTGTGTCAAGGACAAGTGTGTAGTATATATCCAGTGCGGGCAGTGAATCTTCGATACGACCCGTAGACGTTTCGGAAATCGTTTACGACTCTATTCGTCGCTTCTTTATAATTAACATATTTGAGAATATGGACAATACATTTTCGACAAGTCGCAAATTCATTCATGACACTTTAATTACTGTTTGGCGTGTAGAATCGCTGAATGTTTAAAAAGCTTTAACCGAGAATGCTATAACGTTTAATCTTGTAAAACAGTGTATATTTTACGTGCTAAGAGAGTAATGGACAACCGAAATTTTTTGTAGCGCTGCATTCCTTGCATTCTTTATTATCTAAAATCAACTTTCCTTGAAAGTTTCGTTTACGCTTCATACCAACACTGCCAAGGATTGATATTCGTTTCAGTCTTCTTTCGTCGACGATAATCCTTGACGAGTCGACAGTTGTGAATTCCAAATGTCCAATGCTTCACAAACGGTCGATTATCCAAATCTTCACTTATATCAATATTTACGGTATCCAATGTTAACTTGGCGATAAAAAAATGATAAAAGCGTGTCTCAGTCTGCTACAAATATTCTCTTCTTTCTCTCGAATTTCTTCCATCCTTCTTATCTCTCAAGCTCGACGTTTCATTATTACAATATTCGGTTATTTTACATTCATCGAGCCGTTTTTTTTTCAGAAACGTTTCACCGTGTATCCGTAAATTTTCGTGATTAATTTCTGGACAAATCCATGTTCTATATTCAAGTTCTATATTTTCTCTTTACCAGTCATTATATTTGGGGCCGGCGTGACGTTTTGCGGAGCCTGAATATACATTCAAATCCTACACTTAAATTTTACAACGAAGAATTATTTATTTACAAATGCTGTTACATATTATATATTTTTTATAAGCAGTTTTTTAATCAAGTCCAAGTAATATTTGTTCGCATCTATAATTCGCTTTCAAGGGGCAAAAGTTCAATGAAAGTACAAAATCTGTAGTCATGTACGACTTTTGCAAAAAAACTATTGTTGTAGTTTAATTTCTCTAAAAAGTACATTTCTCTGAAAGCGCCTGGATTTTTTTATCTCATGTAGTTTCCAGGATACGAGGATTTTATAGAGTTACACTAAACTTTGATGACTTTTGTCACTCTTTTAAATTGAATCATCGCCATTAAAAAAATGTCCTACATTTGTTAATGGTATCGTCATTCTGTAAAAAATTAATCAAAATCGGTGTTTTTTAATTGGGTAATTTTGGGGCCGGGTTCCGGCGAACGCGCTGAACCTGCCTTGCGCTGGCCCTCATCATATTCCTATGTCTGAACGAACAGAGGTGCAAATGAGAATGAAGGGAAAATTCGATCGACTTCGTTCTAAAATATTTCCCTGGGGAATATGCGTGATTTGAGTAGCAGGGAATAAAATAAGGGAGACGAGAGGATCGTCACGCGACGAACACGTCAATATCACGATATCGAATCTTTATTTCGATATCAGTAATCACGTGCGAGTCAGCTGGATGTTTGCTCTTTGCTTTAAGATAGATCTTCATCAAATCTCCAGACCGTCGTTGGACAGACGTTCTCATCTCCATCTCCTCTTTTTTTTTTTATTTTCGTTCGAACTTTCCTATCTTTTTGGTCGTCGTTCGATCTTCGAATAAAAATGATCTTGAAGCTCGATCCTTTCGAGAACTGCCTAATGAATCCACGATATTTTCTTCTTCGTTGAATCTAAATACCCTCCTTTCACTTATAGCAAGTCCCATAACTATTCAAAGACATTGTTTCAGGAGAAACGAACTTTCTCCGTATCTTCGCGTTCGTCTTCTGACTTTTTCTCATAAATCCTCGATTCTCGTCGTCGATACGAAGACATTTGTATAAATATCGCGCTTTATCTCGTTTTAGAGGAAAAATTCACGAAATGAATTCGATGAAATATTCAGTGAAAGTATGGATCGTAATTTCCGGCGCTTTGTAGAAGCAACATCGCGCGCTTGGAAAAATTTGTACGAAGAAAAAGGTACTGTACAAGGAAGATAGCAATTAAAAAAGAGAAGGCATACAATTCGTTTCAGTGGATAACATTGAACGTAGAGGTAGATTTTTGTTGGTCGATAAGCTTTCTGATACGATCGTAGTTCGCGAATAGACGATTAATGGTTGTTTGATTTCTTGATTATCACCGACCAATTCTTCCGCAGAAAGCGAAATATAATCAGAGATTCGAGTTGAATTGGCCTGGCGATAGTCGGTATAACGATAACAGATAATAATATAAATTTTTATATTGTCATTTTTTAAGTGAAAGGGCGCTAGTTAAGAGCCCTTCTTTTAAATTATTGTTTAAAATTTTTATATTTTCGTACGTAGCGTATCAAATATTTTTTATTACAAATCTCTTTATGTAGCAAAGTATCCAACGCTGTTACGTTATATTTTTTTCTCGAGTCCGGTCGTAGCGCGTAAACAATATCTTTTTAAAAGTATAAATTAATTGATTAATTGAAAGTGATTGGATTGTAACATATGAGACATTTGTTAGCTACTTGGTTCCCTTAAATCATTTGTCAAACAAAGTGTTCATCGTTTGAGTGAAACGAATTATTTATGAATAATTACAATGTTTCGTATTCTATTTACGAAAGACTTGTCCATGAAGTGTTCATGAAAGACTAACGTAACGAATTTTTCTCGAAATGTATATATTTGTCAGTAGGAAAGTTAGTTTCCTTAAGAAAAGTCGTTCAAACGAGGGAAGGAACGAGAAATTAAAGTAGGATCTCTTGATTTTGTTTCCAAAAGCGTTGTTAAATATTTCATTGTTTAGTTGAACTTCAAATTATCTATTTTTCGCACGTTGTTGATTTTTTTATTGGCTATTTATAATATTTATTTATAACTCCAAGCATCGATGAATCGAATTTTACTATTTACTATTCCATTTCTGGTACATCGTTCCTTGGCGAGTTAATACAAGTAGAAAGATATAAGTAACGAGTTAATTCCACTCTAATATTTTCCCTATAGTTTCGCATCTAATGCTCGAATAATGATTACTCTCCCAATATTCCCATAAATAAACATTTCATATGTTACAATCCAATTGAGAAAAGAAACTAAATAATAGAAGAGAAAAAGAGATACGATAATTTTTCATTACGAGCATCGACTAATTTCGCAATCACCGATATATGTATAACACACGTGAGGGATATTTAAACCAAATAACGTCCAGGAAAAAGACATTGCCTCTAACCCTCTATAACTGGATTTATCCTCGATCTATCCGGCTAATTACAGATTTGTATTCGAATAACGTCGAGAAGAGAAATTATCGATTTCTTTTGAAACTTTTATGTATATTCATTAAGCGACACAAAAATTAAAACATTGACATGTTTCGTTTTGTAAGGCAGGAAAAAAAGGAAGATAAAGTAAATAAGAACCGTAAAAAAATAACCTGTTATTACGGAGGGTTAATTTACGCGAAAGATCTTTTCTATCGATAGAAACAGCAAAGGACTGAGGCAAGGCAGAAATATTAGACGTACGTGAATAATACATTCGTGAAAATTAGCCGTTAAAACGTTGATCGTGCTTGTTAACGAGGTTTAAAGAGGTACTTGCGTGCACGGATGAGAAAGAGAAAGAAGAATGATCGAAGAGTAACGAACGTTCGGCCGGATAAAAGCTAAATAGATAAATAATAAGCGAATGTGAAATATGTGTGAATGTGTTTAAGCGCGAATGAATGACAAGGAAAGGGATAACAAAGCGAGAAGCCAAGATGTTTTTAAGTAACTGTGATTTTTCAGATGTATATTATACATAAATAATGACGAATTAATTTCTACGTGTATTATAATGCAAAACGACGAATGGTAAATACGATGATGTATCGATGTGTCGCTTGTGTCCGTACGAACGTTGTAGAATATTATTTCGACTAACACATATCGGGTAGAGAAGTGTTTGGCGGCGAAATAAATTACCGCTATTAATTAATCGTCATCGATTCATCGTTATTCGATTCGTAATTAATTAATCGAGCATTATCATTACGAATATAGGTATGCGCGAGTCGTGGTACGTTGCCTAAAAAAATCTTTACGTATATACAATACTTATACATACACTGGACACGTTCACACTTACATAGAGTTCGATTGTTAATTGCTTGCATAATTGTATAAGAGAGCCACGTGTCATCTATGTAATATCATTGTATTCAGTAATACACACGTATACACACGTACACGCAGACACGAGTACACACACCGTAGATTTATTCTATACTTTTCGTCGCCTCCCGTCGAAAGAGTCGCTGTTCGCTATTTTGCGAATTCCTCTACTTTACTTCTTCTTTCCTCCCTTTTTTCCCCTTCTTTTTATTCCTCACCCCCCTTTTTTTTTCTTGCAATCAACCCTTCACGAACTGTTCCTAAAGAAAACGCCACTGTACCACGCTGAACCTATCGTTGAGCAGAAAATAAACTGCGTATATAAGTACGCGTGCAAAGCGAAAACGCATCGTCTTTCGATTCTCGACGATGCTTTCCCTCTCGATTTCTGAGCTAAGCGATTAGCTCTGGATTAGGTACTTAAATAATCGACAATAGGAGATAATGTTATCGTCGTTCAATCCTCGGAGCATAAAAATAAAGTCTCTATCTATTTATTTTTATCGTTAATCGTTTCTAATGGGAAAACGGTGTCTCGTGAATTTTCTTTTAAGCTAATACACAGAGCCTTCTGTAATTGTGCGAGGCTCATGCGTCTATATATTTCTTAAATTTCACTTTGTTTCTTTATCACTACGCTGTTATTCTCTGTTACGTGAATCGCATTCACGAAGAATGCGCATAATATTAGCGAAAGAAGTAACTTTCTAATTAGGCTTCATCCCCTTGGTTGTGTTTAAAACACACACACATCTAGCGATAGATAAGCTAAAAATCAGGTAAACTAGCTAATTATCTTACTAACACCTTCAATTCGCTACAAATCTAGTATATGTACATTCTAAAACTCACAAAGAAGCTATTTTCTAAACTAAAATATTCTCAAAGATCTTTCACAGGATTTATAATTCTAGAAAAAAGAAAAAAAAAGAAAGAAAAGGAATCTCTATTTAGAATTTCGTCCTCGATTCTGGGAAGAATGTGAAAGGCGTAGAGTTTCAAGAATTTCTAAAGCTCCAAGGGTTGGACGTCGAGTAAAGGACGTGTACTAATTGTCGCTATTGTTTTAAATAGCGGCAGCTTGATTTGCATATAGCCTAGTTGACCGCACAGCGAATCGATCCCGGTCCTACGTTTTCCTCGCGATTTTCCGCTGCTCGACGTAGGTGCGGCCCTATCCTGAGAAAAACAAGTGTTCATTTTTCGACGAAAATCCACTATGTGGAGAACGAACCGCGTACGCGCATGCGTGCAAGCGTATGTTTTAAAAGCGCGCGCGCGTGCAGAGGCGAATGATGAATTTTCGGGGAGTCCCCGAAAGAGGACGAAAAAGAAAAAAAGAAAAGAAATAAGTATGTTTCTAAACGATATTACACGATTAGTCGAGGGAAATAGATCCGTATAAGTACAAATAAACGAGCCTGAATGAATGTTTCGATAGAGGGCAACCCTGTTTTCCTTTTTATAACGAAAAATACGAGGAACCATTTATAAATAGTTTTTTTGAATAAAACGCGGTTAATATAAATAAATATTCTAACAATGATTAAAAGTCTTTTTATGCTCTTTCGTTGCTGTAGCGATGTAGAAGCGAGATCTTTTATCATACGATTTATTTTTGTCGATAAACTAATGGTATAATTGTTAAGACAGAATGGAAAGGAGTCGAATTTTCTCTATACGATATATGTATATTTAGAAGAAAGATCAAAGTTGAGCTTCAGGTGGCAATTGTGTTCAAAATGTCAGATTTAAGTGGAATTCTTTGTCATAGCTTGTATCTTGATAGTAAGTGTGTAGTATGCATATGAGGAAAGAGGTATAACATGCGGAAGGCTAATTGTAAGTTTCTTTCGAGATCATTTTTCGAGATAGTGGATATATTCGTTGAAACAACACCATGTAATAATCCACGAAAATCAAATTTTCACGCCATATTCTCGTTTGCGTCGTAGGGATTTTGGTGCAATAAGTAAAAAGATGAGAATAAATGAAAAGAAAAGAATCCTCTATTTACTGTATTTTTAAATCGGCACGATTACGTTTTCCTTGAGTGTTCTGTCGTAAATAAAATTGGGTGAGATATTCTGAATTCTATTCTTAATATATAAATCGGATACACGAAGATGGAACGATTAATAAAAATTTCACTGTATCAAACGTACAATACTTATTCCATTCCAAAAATTCGATTCCTTTCTGCGTATTGTAAAATCGAAACGAACCTGCACGTTGTAAAGCCAAGAAACGGCAGAAAGAGAAGCAAATGTCCCTTTTAAAAGCTCTAGAAGCCAGAAAGCTCGCCTAAGTCGACCCACGGATACGCATTCGCCGCTACCGAATCTAGAACTTCCGGTCACGACGTTAAGAAGTGGCCGAACCGAGACGAATCGTTATACCGCGTGCTGGACCTGTATTTTTTTAAATAAAAATCAGAAAAACCACCGTCTTCCGATTCTGCCGAACAACCGATCATATTCGACGCATACTCGATAGAAGCTAAGTGTAAAACACAAAGCAAAAAAGGAAAGAAGAAGGAAACAAAACTTGAAAAGAAAAACAGTAACGAGAGAGTGCATGTGTGTTTGTTAGGACGAAAGAATGAAAGAAGAAATATGAACGAATGAAGTGCGAGAGAGAGAAAGAGAGAGAGAGAGAGAGAAGTAGATGACTGATGATCATTACAGCGGAGACTATTTCTCGTTGCTGTTGCTTTGCGGCGATTTAGAAAAAAAAAAATGCAACGTGGAACATAGACACGTGGAAACACGTACATCTGCATAATTACTCACACACACGCAGATTTCAGTATCATTCGACAGCACGATAAAGATCGATGGCCAGTCTGTCGCAGTTGAAGCAAAAAGAAACACGTGTCACTTGCAAGGAAGCAAATGAGCAAAAAAGAGAAACGAGAGAAAAAAAGAAGAAGTCAAACGTCAACTCAGAGTCTTGTATATATTATCTTTTTTACTACTGAAAAACGAACATTTGAACCGTGATCGTTCCCCAGATGAGCGCGCGCGCTTGTCTTCTTCGTTGGATTGAACGAGGCGACGCGAGCGTTCAATGGAACAAAGAGGACATTGTTCTACTTCTTTTTTTCCCTACTACCTCCCTTTCTTCTTTCTTTTTCTTCTTTTTCTTACTTTTTCTTTTCTGCTTCGTTTTTTTACCCTGCGTTTCTTTTTTCCAGTTACTCTTTCCTCTTGCCTTCCTTCTTCTACGTTTTTAATTCCGTTGTCCGCGATCGCGTTCACCTTGTTCGATGCTGGCGGAGGAACGCGAGAACCGACGCAGTTTGTACAGTGTTTTACGGTAGATCGAGCGCACGTATGCCTCTCGAGAATCTTCGTTTCGTCTTTCTAGAATTTTACCAGATTGCACAACAGGAAATAAAGGAATGACACGGAGAGGAAAATCGTAACGGGCAAGACGGAACGTCTTAAATGGAAATTACTTCTACTCGCCGGTGTTTTTTCAACAACGAACTCTTGTCAGGGAAAACAAAGCATTGGAGATTATCATTAGTATAATATAATACTAATTTAATTAACAACAGAACTAGTTCTCGGTTCTTACGCCTCCGTAAAAACGTCTTTTCTCTTTTTCTTTAAGAAAGATTAACAAACTTTTCGTTTTTGGATTGGACGGTTGCTTTTATCGAGTTGTACATTTTGTTGGATTTTTTCTCGAAAGAAAAACTTTTATATTTTTTCCTCTGGAAGCAACGATGTTACTTAACATCGTTGTTCGAGCTTTCTTGCCGCTTATCCTCATTCTACATAATTTTCAAACAAACGATAATTAAGACAGTCTTAATAAAATATTTGTAGAAAATTTCTAACTGACTTGAACCGGGTATAGATACAGTTTGCATCGACCAAGAGACCAGAGGCAACGACAAATCTCGAGCAGATAGAGCTATTCAAATAGAAGACATCTTTTCTAAAGCGATGTTTCACTTTTGCAGAATAGAAATCGATCGTATCCTCCACGTGCGACCGACGTAATCGCTATCATCAGTTCTCATCATCGCATTATCTCTGAAAGCGCAGCCTGGCTGCGTTAGAAGTATGTGCTCATTGCGCATAGCCGTCAGCATCCTCTTAAACGTAAGGTAAAACGACATTCAATTTATCTGATGATTTCGTTGGATATCTATCAAAGTTCCTTTACTCTTCTTGTAATCATAAAAACGCGAAGGGAGAAAGAAGAAAGGAACGAAAAAGAGTAGTCTTTCATTATTTAGATGGGCTCATTCCCTTGAGTGTTCTAAAATGACGATAGTTCAACTAATGTTTCATAGAAGTCGCAATCTTTTCTTCTTGTTCTTTTTGCAATGGCAAATTAATATGTAGATCATAAAAGATGTTCTCGTGAAATATCGTTGGTACAATAAACACGAATGGTCGATTTTGTAAGTACGTATTTTACGAGTGATTTTTTAATAACGATTAATTAATAATTAAAGGAAGAAATTAAATTACGAATGGAAGAAATTGATTTTTCTTATTACGAGTTATTTCTTATTATGAGTTATTGCTATAATAACGTCGCTACGAAGTATAATTATTCTTAATTATCTACGTTACGGTTTTCTCGCTGTTCTTTTCTTCCTTTTCTTATTTTTCATTTCTAGAAACGATTGCATATCGTGTTACGTAATCAAACATTACCCTGTACATGTTGTGTACAGAGAAATTTGTACCCGCGATAACACGCATAATCTCAATAAATACTCGAGTCAATTTCCACTTCTATTAGCGGATTATTCGCCAATTTACAGCTTTATCGATCTAAAGACGTAAATAGCGCACGTCTACAAACGTCTATCACTCTAAAGGTAAGAATCGATTTGAAAATTCAGAGAACGCGTCATTCTGTTTTTGATAATCGAGAAGAAAATAAAACAACGTGCTTCCTTATCTGTTAAACTAAAAATAAAATAAAACAAATTTACACGGTTTGAAGAAGTGATTCCTTTAAAGGTCGTTACCAGTACACGTCTGACATTTACACGAACCACTCCATTTGCTTCGACTTACGCGGGTCAAATTATGACCTTAAACTGACTTCGAGTAAAGACGCTTCGCTTAAATCAAAATAGCGTGAAAATAATGACACTGCAGCGTATTAATTTACTTTGTTCGATGTTCAAAGTTCTGGTCGTTTTCATCCATGTATTCACGTATACTTAACGATCGAATTCCGTTTCTCGTTAATAAACGAGGCAAGAAGTCCGAGCTACTGATAATGGCTTGTCTTTGTTGACAAGTAGCAAAAAGGTGCCAGGGACGAGTATCGATACGAATTAATTTTAATAAAGAGTCGAGCAGCGAAACGACATTGATATTTTTACTGATTTATCACTGTGAGGTTACAAGAACGTGTCATCTGTCGTGGAACTCGTTTCAATGTTGGCTACGATATTATATTATCCCTTTAAGATGACGTTTACAAATCATATTTATAAGTTAGTTACTATTTTCTATTTTTCAATGTTTGAATGTTAACTAAATGTGTGTTATATGCGAGATACCCTGTGCATATTCACGCGTAGGTATACCAATGAATCCATATAGTTTTACGTATTTCATTTCCTTCTCGTTGTATCCTATTTTATAATCGTTATCTTACTATTTCGTTATATTAAAATAACATTAACCTTACCTTCATTTACCATTATACCGATAACAAGTTCGTTGTTTACGATGAAAATGCCACTAGCTTGTCGTTGTTTAATCGAATTTTAATAGAACGTTGCGCTTCTAAAAATGAACAGAGCGAATAACTGATTCAGTGCTCTCGAACATTTCGATATTAACAGATTCGACGTAAGAAAAGTGATCTTTCAACCCTCTACAATGACATATGTCGTTCGAATGGATATACATTTCGGTATTTTTACCATTATTTTTAACCATCGTTTTGCATACTTATCATTGCACTAATTTATTTTGTCATCTTATCGTTGCACCGCCACTGAAGAAGAAATCCGACTTGCTTCTTATTTATGACAGTTATTACTCCCGGTTTTCCAACGAGGACACAAGATTGTACTGTGATATCAACGGTAGAGCTCTTACAACCTTATTCGATACAATTACTTAATTTATCTCTTACGACAATTTCTGAACTTACGTAACTCATTATTTCAAACGCGATTCGATCTTTCGTTATTTTTACTATTGTTTTTTTTTTTTTTTACTACTACACCTTCGTTCTGAAAATTAATTACAACGTATACCGTTGGTACAATATTAAGAGCGTAACATTATCGAAAATTTTTTTTGTTTCGTCATCGATGGCCTCATTGACAGTATGCGCGTTAAACAAATTTATTCAACTTATTTCTGCGCGATAATTTTTTTATGCAGAAGAATAAAAGACTTTTATCGTCCCGATGAATACGTCAGTCAGTTACGAAGAGTATCGAACGTGTTATTCACGAAACCTCACGAGCAGATAAGCAATCGATCATTGCCGAAAATGAGGGACACGAGCCGGTTTGTCAATATCGGCGCGTTACGCTATTTGCGGCAGGCACAGACGCGAAACATCATCGAGAGAAGCACGTGTGGAATATAATCTGCCCGGAGGAACGCAATCGATGGTCGACGTATAGCTACGTGCGGGCTCCGATTCGATGGTCTCGCGATGATTTCTTATCGTTGCACGTTCGAGATACACGCACGTTCGTAGCACGTTTTCACAATCAGTGGCATTGAGAATGGCCTGGCAGCAGGATGTAACAATTATATCGCAGTTGGATCGAAGGAAAACGTGTCCTCGAAATGTGGAAATTTAGTCGAACACCGGACGACAAGTTTTCTCCCATCAGCTACTTTCTACGATCTCGCCGACGCAATTTAATTTAAAGTTGTTACGGTTAACGTTAAACTTATTTCAAGAAACGATAGAAAGTGAAAGATAGGGACATTTGGTGAGAAACGTCGTCTCCCCGTGTGTTTAATGTCTCGTCGATGTAGCAGTGCGGAGGAGACGAAAGAAAATTAAAGATTTTTAATTTCTGTAAAAATTATTCGCGTGTGCCTATTTTGTGATTCGGCGTGAAAGATTTCGCTACGATGAACTATCCTACTCTGGGTGAATAAAATCAGTGGAAGAAATTTCGTTGTTCGCTACGTGGAAACGGAAGATCAAATTTCATTGGGAAAACCGATTTGGAGAGTACTTGAAGATATTTGCTAAGTAAGTTCTCGGTAGCATTTATCGGTGCTCTATCACAAATATTTGTAAATTGCGATGGCTAAAGTGGTCATTATTCATGATCATTTACCAGTAAATTTTGTAATATTTTTACAAATTTATTGACCTATATTTATGCGATCGTAGAATTGAAGTTGCGTGTAGTTTAATTGCACAATTTGTTTTACGAGTCTTTACAAAAAGGGAACTAATACCATCGACGATTTCTTATCGTATCAGAATAAGTCTTTAGGAATAATTTTTCTATCATTTCGATGCTGGGAATTCCTTACCTGTAATCTATAAAATACATATTTTACGATAATTTTTTACGGGTATTTCCAAGATTTTACTTACCGATAGCTTATCGATAAGTTTAAGGGATTATCACACGAATTATTCGTCTAAACGAGACTCGTAAATCATACAAAATTGAATAATTTGTCGAAATACGATCGATTGACCGATGAAACGTTCAAAATACATAGTTACGTTACATACTATCGATATATAATAATATTCTTTAAGTTTCTGGAAACGTATATGGAAATCTTCAAGCACGTCTACTCGAATCATTTGAACCGTGCGTTCAGGTAATTTATTCAATTTATGCGCATACGTTTGATACTATTCACGCAAAGCTAGCCAGACGCCGAACTATTCTGTAGAAACTGATACATGAAATAAATATTAAATTAGTTCGCTTTATGATGAAACAATATTTGAAAGTCCTTCTTAGTGGAGATTATTCGACGCAACAACGATTTACGGTAGCCAAACGTATAATTGAATCAGTCATTGAAGCGACTCGTTCACACTCTATAAAGTAACAATTACGTTTATCCGTAGATCAGAATTTGTTAGCGACGCTAATTCGAGAAAAGAGAAAATGAATCATTCCGAGACCGCTTAAGTTTCAAGTGCATGCACTTTTATTCGACTGCTCGATCTTATCGCGAAAAATTAATGAAAAATTAAGTCGTGGTCGAGCCGCGATGATTTCCATCGAATTACATTAAACTCTCAGGATTGTACGTTCGTGTCGCAATCGATTTCGAGTATTGCAGTCTCCAAGGATCTCTGCACGCTTACTCGGCTTATTTTATCGAAAGCATTAATATAAAAACATAAATACCCCATTATGCGACGAGGATTTTCTCCACAATGAACGAACAAATTTTATTCCACACCCTTGACCTATCTCTACATAAAAAATTACCTTCTACTCCCGACGTTCGTTTCATCAAATTTCGGCCAGTTCTTCCACGAGAAACGACGTCTCTACCTAAAGTTCCTTTCATCAAATTTTACTAAAGTTCTTCCACCTCCTCCTCGCCGATGCTTCCATTTCGTCTAGCAGGAGCAACATTTTCAGCCACACCCTGTATAAACAAACGGTCGAAAATCCAAAATGGAAGATGTGAAAACCCAGCTAACTTCTTGCATCCCTTTCCAGGCTGGAGAACCAACGAGAACCAACCTCCTCGTCCACGTGAAAAACTCCGTTCTACGTCTCTGACAAGTGTGCAAAGTCTCCAGCGACACTGGTTGCGAGCAAGAAGCACGAGTAGAGTAGGAAGAAAGGAGGATTCGAGTGTAGAAGTGCGCGTGTCCAGGGGCGGCG